CTCCGCTGCGAGATCAATACAGTCAGTCGTTAGCCCTGTTTTAAACTGTTTACATGGGCCTGTTCAGTTTGTAATTTTTACTGGTTGCTTTAAATCTCTTTACAACCTTTTTACTATTTAATTGTTTTATATCCTGAGTACATGGCCGGTCCATCAGGCCATCCCAGCACCTTTTGTTTTAGTGTTCGGAGGAAATCTCAGAGGACCAGGTAAAACGTGGTGGTACCAACGCTTTGGCTTCCCATTACCAAAACTGAACCAAACTGGGAGTTTTTAAAAAGAAAACTGAAGACGCACCAGTTTCATTAGGAGGCTGATTTTTCACTAATAAAGTCAAAAACAAACCAATTAGGTTCAGTAAGCTGCAGCTGGGTGTGAGTCTGAATGCGCTATAAACAATAAACAAGAACATATGGGGGCGGGGCTTACATGTACAGGGGGCGGGGCAGCAGCAGGGGGCGGAGCGGCAGCCGGTGTTCCTTCCTTTGGGTTCTCTGTGTTTTTAGGTGGAAGTTCAGGAGGCTGAGGAACGACTTTAACCACCCAGCTCAACATCCTGGAAGAGAGAAAGAAGCCGTCGCTGTTGGAGACCGAACACTTAACAACGTTTTTTAGTCTTTGGACGGTTTAACCTCCTTCCTCCACATGGCAGAATTTAGGGACTCTGAGTTAACAAATAAAACTGATAAATATCTTTGTTTGGTTTTTGAAAACCCTTAATAGTGTAGAGAAGTACCTCCTTCAGCACCGGTCATGATTTACTGAGCAACAGACGACCTGACTGATGCAACTTTCTAAACTGGTTCCAACCAATATTGTTGAGGAGTTATCGGCTCGGTCAGAAGTGTGAGAACGTTTTCCTGTTGTTCTGACGATCAGCTCAGATCCTTGGTGTAAACTTTGTAAAAAGATGGATCCATTCTACTTGTCTTCAATAGTTTAGGCTGGTAATGGTGGTAAAATGTGGGGACGTCTTCTTGGCCCATGTTGGACCCTTCGGTACCAAATTAGAACTACTGCTCAGCGTAACTGAATAATATTGATGAGTATTTCTATCCCATCCTATGATGGCTGAACTTTGAGATAATTTTCATATCTCAAAGCTCCAATCTTCTCTGTCTAATTTCTGGAACATGATCATGAATTCACTGGACCTCAGTGGCCTCTATAGTCATCAGATCTCCAATGGTTAATATCAGATGACAAACCTGTACATACTGCGTGATGCCATCAGGTCATCATGAACCAAAACCTCTAAGAAATGTTCTGACACTTTGTTGAAGAAGTAAAGCGGCTCTGAAGGTATGTGAACCAGACCGGTGAGTGTTTCTGATGATTCTGCCCCATTTGTCCGCACTGCCACCGTCTGCCACCGTCTGCCACCGTCTGCCACCGCCTGCCACCGTCGGCCACCGTCTGCCCTCGCTCTAACTCTCTGAGGCTGTTTGGTTCATTATTTACACAAATGTGATCCCTGCCAGAACATTAATCATATCTCGTCTGATCCACCAGTTTTCCTGGTTTAACACATTGCTCTCTGGTGGAAAAACGGTGCCAGATTATAAAAAGCCTTTTGGTCAACAAATGTCCATCCTTCCTTATTCGCATGCTTGATCTCAGTCACGCTTTTGCCTCCTGGTTTCCCTGTACTTCCTGGATCGTATCAGATATTCCCCGGCTTCTGATCTCTGAACACAGACGTTTCTGCCTTATGCCAGTCACCAGGATCTGCTGGATCTCAATCTTTCTCCTCATGTGCGACGCTGTTTCTGTGCCCTGACAACTGATTCAGGCATAATTCTTGGATCATGTCGCCCATTTTTCAACTTTCACAGCTTTAACCAATTTTCTGTCCCCTGATCATCAATAAACCTGAAAATATCTCCCTGTAAGTTCTGATTGTGGATCTTTTGGATAAAACCCTCATGTCATATGAAGGATTTAACCTCACAGCCTGTCAGATCTGCAGGATTCTGCAACAGTTAGTGATTTTATTTCTGAACTTAACCTTATCCACATTTTGGTGTCTGTCCAACAACATTTCTCTCTCCTTTCCTGATGTTATTTAAATGCAATTAGCAGCAGATATTTTAAAGTCAATCTATTGAACTTTTGGGTCGTCAGAGCAAAATGTTACAGTATTAGATACTTTTACTGATTTCATTTCAGACGTTCCTATGTGGTCTATAGGAGCTAGACGGTTTCCCACAATGCTTTGCAAGACAGGATTTATAGACACAGCAATCCTCACAGAGTTTAAGAAAATCCCGTTCTTGCTCTCTGTACTCTGTGTAACACCTTCCAGTGTTGTGGGTTTTATCATGGAGGGCTTCACTTGTTCACAAAATGTGTGTAAGTTTTGTTTTTTATATTTCTTTTTCAAAAGAAAATTTTGATATCATTCATTTTGGCTTTTCTTCTGTATATTTAGTTTCCTTTTGGCAGCAAAACTAATATTTAAAATATAGCTTAACACTGATTTAGTTAAAATCTTTGAGTGAATAATTTGAAGTTGCAGACATTTTTATCTGGCTAACAGGCTAACAGGCTAACAGGCTAACAGCGCTCTGCTTTACTGCCTGTTTCAGCTGGAACAGACTTCATCATCATCCATCGTATTGCAGATCCTGTTTTTGGCTTTTTTTCCTTCCTCTTTCAGGGGAACAACAGTAAGAACACTATCCTGATGGGAAAGGGACTTCAGACTGTTGAATTCGGACATCCTTTAGCTGTATGGGAAATCTCCTATGAGTCGACATTGCAACCTTTTTTTTTTCCTTTTTTTTTCCATCCTGCTTCCAGACTTTTCTTTGAAAAGATTCACTAATTGTGGAGAGATGATTGTGGTTATTAAAACGGATGGAAATGAGTCCAGATACGTAAACAGATGGAATCTAGGAAGAAATAACTTCATCTCCTCTCAGCTTAACTCCCCGGCTTTGCTGTTCTGTACTTAATGGAGTTTGGATCACGTCTGGCTGAGTGTCGGACCCAATCACAACGGACTCATCATGACCCTAATCCTCCATAGGAGGCCACTGGAAAACCAATACAAACATTTTAACTGGTGCCCAGTTGGTCACTTTCTCTCTCCAGTATGTGTGATCTGTTTAACCGGCTGTGTTCATTATGGGTCGCCATGTAGCCTGCTGCTCTAACTGATGGGAAGGTTCAGAGATGAATAGCTGGGTAGAGTCAGAACCAGAGGGAACTAACTGGTTAGTCTTCATTTGAGGTGTTGCTTTAACCAGCAGCTCTAGATTCCTCTGCAGTCGAGGCCTTTGGGAGGTTTGCTGGTAAACCAGGCCATGGTTCTGGAAGCTGCCCATCTTTGCTTCATGTATAAAGGTTCTGCCTGCAGCTCAGTTCTGCTGAAAGGTTAGGTTTAGAAAGAGGCCATCACCAGTCCGCCCCAGAATCCACTCTAACTGGGAATGAATGAAGCTCTGATTGGATCTAGAAAAGCTGCTGTCTGGTTTGATACTAAATGAATCCTAAAAGGTTTTCGGATCGAATATGTGAACTTTAACTGAAACTTACAATTTGTTCACATTTTCACATCCTGATGAGCAAATTTACAGCTGTTTCTCCAATTAAGAAAGAAATCAACAAACACTGGAACTTCAGAACCAAAATGCTCCTGGACCTGCATACAGGGAACATTATTGATCCTGCAACCACAACCTGCCACATCTTCAGTCTAAGGACCTCCTCCCTGCTTTAGCGTCGCATCTTTAAAAGCTCCTGATCAACGTTTTAATAAAACCAGGCCTGAATCTACCAGTTTACCTCCATTAAACACAGTTTGGATCAACACAGAGGGCTCCAGCTGTAAAGGTTTAACAAAGCATACAGGAGGGCTGAGAAGAGGTTGAGGGTTCAGGTTAGATGTTCATGGGTTTCCTGTCCTACCTGAATGGTTCAGCTGGTTTCCTGCAGCATCCCTCAGAGCTGTAGCGAAGAAAAGACCAGCAGGGATCTGAGCGCAGTGGGAGGATTACAGCGCTAACAGGATTACAGAGGAGCTGAAGGACAGAACCGGACAGAGCAGGAGCTCAGATTACACCTTATGAGGCCAGAACCAGGACACCCTCCCCAACACTGACTCTGTCCTCAGGGGACAGAAAATATGAAAACATGATATTTGGTACAAATCAGACCGAAAACAGACCTGAATGTGTTTGGATCTGAAAGTCCGAATGGACCAGAGAAAACTTTCACTCATGCAGGATTTTGTTCTTCCTTAAGCCTCCAGCCCTGAAAATGGAAATATTCTTCATCCACCTCATGAGTATAATTACTGATCGGTGCAAAAATTAAGGTTATTCATTAGGAAAGTGAACAAAGACAGGCTGGAACTGAACTCTGGATTTAATGTTAAACCCAAACGATAGGTTTTAAAACACACCGGCTGGTTCTGTGGTCAGAACCTTGGTTCAGTTCTGAGAAATGGGAACCCCGAGCATCTTTCCTTTGGATAAACTTTACGAGAACAAGTTCACTCTCACAAACAACTACAGGTGCTTAGTTCCAGGTACTCAGAGATTAACTTCCACACAGAAAGACCTGTGGAGTAAAAAATGTTGAGGTACGTCTGTTCTTAGCCTCACGGCTCCAAACGAAGGTCCTGAGGGATCAGAATGAGTCACAGCGTCCTTCATGGCATGAAGGGGAGGACGGCTGTTTGGAGGAGATCCAGTGGGAGAAAGTTCTTTATCCAGGGGGTGGGTTGGTTCCCCCAGAGTCACCAGTGGAGCAGTACGGCTATCGCCATCGTGTTCCGCTTTATTCATGCATAGAAATAGCTTTATTATAATTCATGCAGGGAGTTTTACAGATTATATGGACACTGCTGTAAGTAGAACAGGAAAGAAGGACTTTCACTAAAGTTAAAAGGAAACTTCCCTCATTTGAAAACAGGACCGACTCTGAGGGGCGGGACTAAGTGTGGGAAAGTTAAGGTTTAGCTGGGATGCGTGAGCGCTAGCGTCTTTTTGGCTTCCTGTTAAATCCAGAATAGAATTTAAAATCCTCCTTCTCACATATAAAGCCTTAAATGGCCAAGCTCCATC